ACTGACAGTGTCTAGGCTAACTATTGTGATGATTAGCATCCATGCCCTGTCAGACGTTACCGGCATGTCTACCTAATGCGAGGCGTCGATATAGGGATTGCATAAGAGGGAGAATAAAGGTACATAGGGAAGACCTATACTAGTAACTATAATGTATTCATTACTTAGGCTTCTTCCATTTGCCTCGCGCATTTCTTCATTGGTACGTCTCGCCAACCCCACATTGCTTTAACAATGTTATAGAGCTCAGCGGAACCGCTTATCCAACGAAATCGCTCCGCAAGATTCGGAGTGAAAAGGAAAGTTGGGAACAAAGTAATGAGCACTGTAAGTACTTGTGCGTATAATCACCTAAGGTCGAATGCCACAATATGAAGTCATTTTGCGTCCACATATTTCCACTAATGTCATTCCTTGTCAAGTTTAAAATCCAATGACGTCAGTGGATGGAAAATAACATCAGTTTAGAACACCTCTTTTCATTTCTAGCCATTATCACATGCAAACTACATCGGTAGGTAGACGGGTCGGTTACCACACCTACCTTAAACGTCTTTTGAAGAACTCACTCACTCTCTTGGCTTATTTCTGTTACTGGCTCATGTTGATGGTCAATCAGTATAAATCACCATCTTATACCTTATAGAGACCTAAATTTCACACCACTGCCTAGCGAAATTGCTTTCGACATCAATAACTACCAAATTCCTAATGTATCTCATCGCTGGCACTTAGTATCTAAAATCAGGTAACTTCACAATAACGTTTAGTAAGGTCGGATGCACATGATTCTGATCAAATAAATTTAAGGAAGTGATAACGGTATGGATTAAATTGTAGATGATTAAAATGCACATTTTCCCAGTCTTTCTGGTAAGCATGTTTTCTAGACATCTATTGGTTAATTCATAAGCCAACCAGATCGCACTTAAACTATAATACGTTTAGGATTGGAGGTATTTTCGACCCATTTAATCGACCTGACATTTATTGAGTCCACAATCAATGAACACTATTCGAAGCATTGATTAAGCCTTCAATTTCCGTTCCATCGTTGTTGTTTAGGCCTGTTACATTATGCTATATTAACTAATAATACTAAAGTTAACTCGTCATAACAATGATTGGAACGCTTCTGTAAGCCTTGAGAATGATTGACTTTCAGATCTCTTTATCTCCCATTCAATCTACTTTTTGGCTTATGTTTCCACACCCAAAAGTTCTAAGCAGCTGATGCCGCTTCTGCGCGGTCACCCCACGTCTCTGCCTCCTCTTCCAGATAGACATCGAAGAAACGGCTTCTAGAATTAGCCGATCCAACAGTACATCAGTTTGTTTAGAGGAGACTGATGATTCAGATATCAGCTTTTCATAGCCTGCCTTGCGTCGAACCACAAAGTCCGAAGCACTGGCAAATTCTTCTCCCTCCGTCGTGTCTGGGCATCCACCACTCTCTGTAGATGTTTTCTTATTGTGAAGAATGATCGGGGATGATTGGACAGATTTTTCGATCACCACAATGTCTCTGACCGGTGTCAAATTATCCAAACTCTTAACTGAGAGGGACTGTGCTTCGTGATTGGCTTCTTCAAGTTGCGTGGAATTTTCGGTGGTCTGAAAGTCCCATTCGATTTTGAATTCGATGTAGTTACCTTGGCTACTTCTCCTTCTCCTACCTCTTCCTCCTCCTCTTCTTGCAGGCACTTTTTGTCCCCAGTGGAGCCCTCCATTTCCACGTTTCCAGATCACGTGAATGTAGAATTTGCTTCATCGATCCTTGCACGTCCGAGGTGCCCGATTTTGTTAAGGTAGGCAGTGGTTAGCAATCAATTTACTTTCGAATCTTACCCAATTTAACTCTCAATATAATCATTTCAGCAAGTCACATCCAAATGCAGCTGCAAGGTGGACACTAAGGTGTGTCCTCCTCAGGCATTTCTTGTGCGATAGCTTTTAAACTCCCCCCATCACAACTTGTACAGCAGCGGTTCTGTAATCTACATTCACATAAATCTGTACATGTTAATGTTTTTATTGCGTTATTATGTGTTGACAGTCTCAAATGGGTTCGAATCTGCTCCATTTAAGTGCCTTATGTCATTTCACGTTCTTTCAGCTTTATCTTAAGGTCATGCAATGCATCAGGTACCAATTTTATTGGCTTTAAGCCGATTTCAGGGTCACTTTTTCATTGTCCACTGTGGGATCTGTATAAAGGTCATACGACTTCACTGGTTTCCGTGCTTCAGTTGTAGACCTAGCGCTTATGTATTGGCTTTTCCATTATCTAATTTTAAAAATGATTTCATTTTTAATTGGCTGTATTCAAGGTCAAGAAATGCGAGTCATGATCTTTTCATTACCACCCTAGTATATTCGGCTACTGTCATAGTAATCGGTTGTAGAGGCAGGAAAAGCTCAAGGGCGCACTAAAATTGAGTCACCTATGCCCTCTCAACTGGTGCGGGTCCCTTCGCTCTACGTGTCACATTTTGTTATCCTAACTCATCATCTTCACCCCTCCATAGGCTTTACAATGCTCCTTCCAACACTACCCCACTTGGTCATTTACATCCCTTCACACAGCCGATACGACCATTTCTTTCTCTACCCCGTCCTCCTTCCCCCTCAGCTCACTTCCATCCAGTCTCCTGATCACGACCTCTGGCTCTTATGCCCCTTAGCTCTCTCCCTTGACCTCATAACACAAACCGCCATCACTTCCATCTATACTCTACTAATTGGCAACTCTTCTACCCCTCCTCCATCTACCACAGCCTTTCCTTCCTCTCTCTCTCTCTCTCTCCTCTTTCTTGCACCAATTTTACCCTGCCTTCCTACTCACTGCTTTTTCTCCTACCTTCCATATACGCTTTTTATTTTCTTTGCTATTATTACCTTTCTAAATCACAAAATCACCCTGTTTCTGTCCAAATAATATCTGCCTTAAATTTCGATTCATTCTAACCACTTTCACCACATCATCAGTCCCTGCCTGCAATACTCACTGCCACCCATAGACTACTAGCAAACCTCCTCTTTCCACGTAATCTAAATGAGGTTGCTTTTTTTCCACTTCTAACTACACTTTACTTCATCATCATCGTTACTTGTTTGCTTATTATTACTTCCATCGCACACCGGTCAGTACACATTTGACACACGCGTCTGTAGACCATTTTGGGCGTTATAATCCTCACCCCTTGTCACTCTCCCTCTGTTGGCTTTAACTTTGGCTGAGCTCCTCATTTCTCCTCCATCACTTAGACGCCCTTTTTTTGGTTGAGTGCCGTGCTTGCCCCTCATCTAGGTCTATTCTCCTCCGTTCTCCATCCTTGTCAGTCCGACCTCCTTCCATTATTTGGTCAGGTGCTCCGGGTCGAAAAACATATCCTTCGCTCTACCTAATTTCCAACTCCTTCTCCACTCCTATCAGAATCTACGCGGAAGTGATTCTACAATCTACAAGAAGTGAGACAATCTGGCGTCGATATCACCTCCAAGGTCCTTCCCAGTCAGCAACTCTTCGGACTAAAGGTATTGCTCTGCCTAGGAGGCCACTCTCATCTTTCCCTCTCTCCACTCCATCATTTTTTTCTACCATTTTTGCTCATGTGAGAAAGGAATACGCAATTTATTGGAAGGACAAACTAAGGTGAAATAGTTGGAGTAATAACAGGAAATGGATACGTCATGAAAGGGGGTGATGGAACAGAATTGTGACGAAGGGAATGAAAGCAAAGCGGAAAGAAACTCGAAAACAGTAAACGAGTTGATGATTCTGTGAAGTGCCGCCTCTCGGATTGCATATCTACAGGAAAATAAGAAGAGGAGGAAGCAGAGAAAAGGGGAAGAGGGTGGGGAGGTTTTTTTGTCACATCAAGTCCAAATCTGATTAAATACTTAAATCATTAAAAATGAAGGAGTGACAAGGCACCACTAAAAAGAGCCGCTTTAAGTTTGTTTACGTTGCGTGGATTTGTATTTTGACTAAATTAAGTTGGTTTTGTTGGCACATCAATCGCTATACCCATCAATGTTTTATAACAGCCACCTGACACACGTGACACCTTTGTTTTTTCCCCCCCATGAATGACAGGTCAACCTTATGCATTGCAATCGAGGTTGTCTCTTTTATGCTAACGTTGACTTTTATGGAGCACCTCCTTTCGAGGTCAGTAAACTTGCCTCAATCCAGTTTTCGTTTTCACTGAAATTCACACCATTGTTTCCAACCTCATTCTCCATGCCATCTTCCGATGTGGTCATTGCAATGTCCTCCTAAAGGTCAATTTAATCGTCTAAAAATGCAACTCGAATGAGGAGAGGAGTAGGTAGAAGGAGAGAAAATTGGATAACAATAGTTACAAACACAAAATCGTGTTTCGTTGGCTGTTTTGGCTCAGCAGTGCATCCTCCCTTAAGGTGAGAGTGTGACATGTGATTGTTTTAAACATTAGCGACAAAAAAGAAGCAGACTACTACCAAGCACTCAAAATGGCTGATTGTCCTGCTTAGGCACTTCTCATTCCATTGTAGTCTGTAAGGAAAAGGTGCAATGAAACGATATCACAAGGCATCATCGCTCTTCTCCACAACAATGGAGTGATTAGGTGGAAGACAAAAAAGGGGAATATCAACAATCCTTCACCTTCTTTGAAATAAAAGTTGCTTTTGCTGGAGGAGCTCTTTGGTGTCACGTCTGTTGAGGTTTTCTAGTACCAACAAAGAATACAAGACTTATCCATCTTCATTCACACGATGTTTAGGTTGAAGAGATGGAAATAAAGGAGTTGAGGTGAGAACAGGCGTAATTACCTCGAATCGTCGCCTCTTTTGTCGAAATCTTCGAAAGAATGGACCCGTGTGTTGCTAGATGGAAAAGAAAGAGGTGAAGGAGGTAGAGCGTACATCCACAAGACGTGTTTTAGTGTATATTGCCGACCCTTGTCTCCTGTTTGTGACATGAGTCGGTGAAAGTTTTCTATGGAAGGCACAGCTTTGCATTACTTTTGTTAAAGACGTAAACAACAAGTGATGACAGAATGGAATTGAATTACCTCCGAACTGCGACCTCGATGTCGTCCAGTTTTGACCAAAAATGAGGACGACTTTTGCTGATGGATGGAAGAAGGAATAAGAAGTCATGACACAATTCTCTTTTAATTCAACTTTGACAAGGAAAGTGTCAACACGGCTACCAACATTTGAATGGCATTGAGCGTGGTTGCCCCGCGCCCTCCCTGCGCAAGAGGTCTGTAAGGCATAAGAGAAGGCCTCCACTTACTCCTCTCACTGACGGAAGAATAAGAAG